AGCACACACAAAACATCGTTCCAATTTGGGACAGTTCGACTCCTTACCAGTTCGAACTTGTAACAGTTCGATTCTGTCCGCATTCTGTTCTGGTAAGTGTGCGAAAAAAGGACTGTTCTGAATTGAATCTGTTCGATTTTAGGGCTGTTCGATTTTGAAAACGTTCGAATTCGTCGTACCCCCCATTCACTTTGATGCTCCTTCAATTTTCTACAGTAAGAATTTCAAGGAGAAAGTCGCCGGAAATTCCGATTTTTTGGGCTTTTTCGAGACGATTTTTTGCTGGAAAAATCCAAAAATAACCTGGAAAAATTTTTTGAAAAAATCCGGAGCAAAAAGTCGCTTTTAGGCGATTTTAGGAACTTTTCAGGCTACTTTTACTCAATTTTGCATTGTCGTGTCGAAACCCGTTCACTTCACAGCATGTTCCTTAAATTACTACAGTAAGAATTTCAAGGAAAATATCGCCGGAATTTCGATTTTCGGGACTTTTCGAGACGATTTTTTGCTGAAAAAAAGAATTGGAGCGGAAAGTCGTTTTTAGGCGATTTTAGGCCCATTTTAGGCTAGTTTCGAGCAATTTTGCACGGATCGTGTCGAAGCCCGTTCACTATAAAGCATATGCTCCTTTAAATTTCTACAGTAATAACTTTCGCCAAATTCGATTTTTTCGCCGATTTTGAAGAGAAAAACATCGATTTTTTGGGAGAAAATGCTATAATTTCTAAAAAATTACGATGAAAATTCCGAATTTTTGCAGAAAATGAAACTTTCGTCGGCCCATGCACGTATTTTTCTTCATCTAACCACACAAAAGAGCGAATTTTATGTGCAACGCTTCTCACGACACCCAAAGAAGGTACCGGAGCAAATTGACGGAGATGAAATGAAAATATACATTTTCAGACCTCCCGAATCTTCTAGAATTCTCATTCGCCTACCCATCGAGTGCATGTCTCGCCGAGAAGCTTCTAGATAGTGATGAGCGATTTTTGACGAGTATTTTGGCATTATTGCCGTTGATCGAGAGCTTAGACCGTTCATCAGTCTTCCATCCAGTTTCGGTGTTCCTTGAATCAATTCACTTGATCAACTACGATTGTGAAGTATTGATTGATTGGCTGAATTCGGAATTAGCAGCTTCTTCGCTAATTTTGAGGGTTCTGAAGTCAAATTGTAACGTGACTACTAGACAATTCTGGACTAATTATAAGCCAGCGTGAGTGAGATGGCCGAGAAACTTCCTTGGAATTCTAGGCCGCCTATTTTCAGAAAAACCCCTCCTTCCACCTACACCACCACTTTTCGCGACGAACCTACTATCAAATCGGCCACTTCGAAGCCTATAATATCTTTAAAAATTATTGAAATTGTTGGAGATCAGGAAATGACAAAAAACCTCAATTTACGAGCGATTGAGACTAAAAAAGTTGCCACCAAGAAGCCGAAAATTCTGAAAAATTCGGGGAAATTCGAGAAATGGATTGAGATGGTTTTGGAGTTAAGGGCGAGATTACGACGACTTCTAGCAGCGAATTTGGTGGCAAAAAAGTTGGATTTGATCTTGAAGTGGTGTGATAAATTTTGTGATATTTTTGATAACGAATAAATGATTTATTTCTTGAAGACCTCCGATTTTTAATATATTTTTCTATCAACTCTCCCTCTCGCCTCCCCTCTCTCGCTCTCCACGCGCCCCCTTTCCCCTCCCTTCTTCTACTCACTCCCACTGCCTTCTCCACTGTTGCATGCTTGGTGTAGGGGTAAGCGGCTTGCCGACCGATCCGCTCGCCCGCCACTCGCGGGTTCGACTCCCCCACCTGCATCTATGTGTACTCACTCGTCGTTTAATGGATGAGTGTAGAAGGGAAATGATGCGAAATGGACTGTTAAACTCCGCAGGCGGACCCTAGCTATTTGTAGCTCTTGTCCTAGTCTAATGGAGTTTCTCATTTTTTAGTTTTTATTTCAATAAATGAAGTTATTTTAATTCCATCTTCCAGCCTACACCTTCACCTAGTAGTTTCTTGATGTTTTCGCAAGAATTTTGCCTGTTCCAAAGAAACCGATTTTTTCTAGACCAGATGTCATTATTGAAGTTTCACCTGCATTTGAAAATAGGATTACTGCAGGCAAAATTTTTAACGGATTTGTATGAAACCTGATACAGTAATCTTTTTTCTGTTTATTTCACATCTAGTCTATAACCTTTAACTTCAAGCCTATTTTTCTCGGTTCCTGTAAGATATATGAAAAAGTTGTAAACTGATAAATTATTTATCAGAATATTACAAACAGTTTATCAGTTGACAATTTTTCGAAATTTTGCATAGGAATTGAGATAATTGAGCTCAAACTTGACAGCGTGGGGCCTTAAAAAATAAATTCCAATTCGTTTTTTTTCGATTTCTCAATGATCCCCAACTTCAAAATTCTCCCCTTTTCTACTTTTGTTTTAATCTCCAAATAATCGGCAGAAATTCGTTTTTGATTGTTTCAAACAATTTGTTTGTGAAAATATTTTTTTTAGTGTTCTCAATTTTTTTTCCTCAATTGCGCTCTCTTGGAATTTTTAAAAAAACCCATGAGCAGCAGCTATTTTAAGGTTTCTTGGATTTTCTTTCTTTTCCCTCTCTTCTGCTTGTTTACTCTCTCGCTCTTCTCACGTAGGCTTTCAAAATCTGCGTCTCTCACAATGCCACACTATTCTTTTTTGGAAAGAAGTATGTGAAAATTCTGTTTTTAGAGTTTTTTGCAACTTTTTGAAGATTTTCCTGTATTGAAGAGACCACAACTTTCACCCAATTTATCTCAATCCCTGTGAGAGATATCAAAAATTGGTCAACTGATAAAATGTTTATCAAAATGTGAAAAACATTTTATCAATAAAAAATTTTTTGATATCGTTTACAGGAACCGAGATAATTGACGTTAAATAATCAGCTAACGGAAACTGCAAATTGAGGATGCTTGACAAAAATTTTTTGAAACTGTGATTTTTTTTTGAAAAGAAATTTTATTCAGAAAAAAGAGGAATTTTGGAAAATAGAAATTTTTGAAATAGTAATTTTGATATTTTTCTTCCAGTTTTTTTCTGCATTTTGACGTGATGGTGTTTGCAGAAACTGCGGTTTTCAATGTACAGTAGTTTCTTAAGACGGTGTTTTCACTGAATGGATGCTACGAATTGAGGATGCTGGATTAAAAACTTTTGAAACAGCAAATTTTTTTGGAACATCAATATTTACTTTTTTTTCTTACCTCTGATTTTTCTAAGTATTCTAATACTTTTCGATTTTTAGAAAACCCGATTTTTTTGAAAGTAGTTCTTGAAACAGTAAATTTCACTTTTTTTGGTGTTTGCAGAAACTACGTTTGTATTGTTCAGTAGTTTCTGAAGCAATAGCAGATTAGAATTTATAAATTAAGAATAGTTGACTAAAGCACGTGGGTTCAGGCGAGGGGGTCAGAAAGCGCGCCCCAGTAATTTTTTCGAAAATTCTCAATTGGCTGCTGAGAGTTCGTTGACTGACAATCATACTTTAATGCATTAGGCCGAGAGAACGAATATTTTTTCAATATTTTTTCGTTGTTTTGTTTCGTTTTCGCTCGTTTTTTCTCGTTTTTCCCCTTTTTTTTCAATGAAAATTAGTTGAAAAAAGTTTCAAATTATTTATTAAGGTGAGAAGTCCAATGCAACGGCCTCGTGTAGTGATGAGTTAAGTGAGCGAATGGAAGAAAGCTCGATTTTCGACATTTTTTTGAGGTGTGTAACTGAAATATGTAATGTTCCAATATTTATTGATTTTCTAGGCTCGAGCCATCGCTCTGTCAGCTCGCCCAGAAGTACAACTGCGACAAGCAGATCTGGAGAAAGTGCTACGACCGTTTCCCACCACATGTCAGCAACTGCAGAAAAAAAGAAGTGCGGACACTCGAACGATCTCCACATCAAGAAGAAGTTAACTTAATTTTCATTTGCCTTCGTCCATTTGTCGGCAAAAAATCGGTGATTTTACAACGAAGCGAAGGATATCACTTCGATGATGGAGCATGAAACATGTGAGTAAATGCATTGATGTTCTTCCATAATTATTAATTCTTTATTAGAGGTAATTCAATAATTCGTTATATTTTCAGAGCAACCAGAAACCGGCATCCGATTGCGAAGGCAACAACGACACGAGCTGTCCCCATGAGAAGTCGGACGGATCATCGTTTTATGAGATGTCGGATGGATCATCGGTTTAATAATAATTGTTGTTTCTCTTGTTACATATCCTGAATCTGAATAAATCTTCATGTATTGCCATGCCCTTCCTCGGGCAATTTAAGGGGAACAGCAACATAAAAGGATCAGTATTCACCGAAAGAAAAAACGAATTCATAGTCTTCTGTATCGTTAAAAAACATTAGAGAAACCACGTGAAATCCACGTGTCATTTTGAATTAATTAATTTCGGCTGGCCTACGAGTTAGCTGGGGCGCGCTTTCTGACCCCCTCGCCTGAACCCACGTGCTAAAGTTCTTGAAACAGCAATTTTTTCTGAAAATTCTTTTTTTTTTTTTTTGAAAAAGTCATTTTTAATTTTTTTCTCCCAGTATTTTGTCTGCATTTTGACGTGGTGTTTGCAGAAACTACGGTGTTTTATTTACAGTAGTTGCGACATGCCACCCAATAGAAACAGCAAAGAAACAGATTCTTTCTTAAAATTTTTGAAACAGTAATTTTTTTTTGAAAAATTTTTATTTTCGGAAAAATAATTTTTTGAAACTGTAATTTTTTTTCAGAAAAAAAAACTGGAATTTTGGAAAACAACAATTTTTGAAATTGTAATTATGTTGAAACCGTAATTTTTGAAACAGTGATTTTGATTTTTTTTTCCAGTTTTTTTGTCTGCATTCTGACGTGATAGTGTTTGCAGAAACTACGGTTTTTCATGTACAGTAGTTGCTCAAATAGTAGACATGGGAACTGCAAATTAAGTATGCTTGACTAAAAATTTTTGAAACAGTAATTTTTTTTGAAACAGCCTCTTTTTTGAATTTGTTATTTTTGGAAACAGTAATTTTCTCGAAGAAGCAATTTTTCTAAAAATTCAATTTTTTTGCAAGTCATCAATCAATAAGATATTCTCCATTATTGTTCACTACTTGCTGCCAACGTGTGCGTAATTCAGCGATGCCTTTCTTGAAGAACTCCTCTGGCTGTGACTCGAAATAGTCCGCCACCCAAATTTGCACTTCTTCACCGCTTTCGAATTTTTTCTCGGCCAGATGATGTTGCATGGATCGGAATAGGTGATAGTCCGATGGTGCCAAATCGGGACTATATGGCGGATGAGGCAGCACTTCCCAGCCCAGCTCCTGAGTTTTCTGCTGAATGATTTTTGCAGTGTGTGGTCGAGCGTTGTCATAGAGCAAGAGTGTTGTCGAAGTGTCCACGCCTTGGCGTTTGAGAGCTTGGTCCACACGGTCCAGCTAATCTTTGTAAAGGTCCGCAATCACCGTTTGACCAGGTCTCGGAAGTTCAAAATGCACGAGACCTCGTGTGTTCCACCAGACACATATCATCACCTTCTTTTCGTGGATGTCCGGTTTTGGAGTCGGTTTCGGGGTCTCGCCAGGACTCAGCCACTGTTTTTTTCTCCCATTATTGTCCCACTGAATCCATTTCACATCCGATGTCAAAATCATCCGATGTCAAAATCGAATCGAAGAAACCACGATTTTTGGAGCGGCGCATCAGAATATTGGCAACTTCAACACGTCTTTCCTTGAAATTGTAGAAAAATCGCAGTCGAACTGCTCCGAGAGACTGAGAGTAGTTTGGCAAGGATCCACTTCAATTGCTGCTCTCAAGGCATGCTGCTCCCAAGGCATCGAAATCAAATTGAAACAGCAATATAATATAACAAAATGAAGCCCGGACTATCACCTATTCCGATCCTTCAGAATGCTTCACTAAGAATTTTTGAAACAGCAATTTTTCAGAAAACTCAATATTTACTTTTTTTCTTACCCCTGATTTTTTAATACTTTAACCGAGTTTCAGAATATACATTCTCAAAATTAAACCAATCTGAAAACCCTGGAAAAATAAAAATTTATTGAAACAGTAATTTTTACTTTCTTTTCTTATCACTGATTTTTCGAAATATTCTTTAACCGATTTTCAGAAAAATGAGCCAATCTGAAAATCTCAAATCCCCAGAAGACTCGGACAGTGATTTGGAGCTTCTCCCAACGTCAGCGTATCCAAATCTTTCGGATTTTGAACTTGATAAAATCGCTAGAGAAGAATTCGATCGTGAGGCGGAATTCAGGGAGATTCAGGAAGAATTGGAGGATGCCAAATTGAAAATTCAAAGGCTTAAAATCAAAGATAAAGAAAAAGATAACGAAATTGAAAATATTCAGAAGGAAATTGGAAATTTGAATTCGAAACTGGAATATCAAACAGATCAAAGTCACCTCAATTTTTCATCATCCCAGCTTTTGGTTCAAGGATGTGAACTTTTCCAATCTGCAGCTACTCAGATGACGAAGATACATGAAGAGAACTTGGCGATTATTGAGGGATTGAAATTGAATATTGCAAGTCTTCAAGAGAAGTTAAGAATTAAGGATGAGCAATTGGAGGAGAAAGAGAAGAAGTTGAAGGAGAGAAAGTGCAGCAAACAGAAGAAGGTTGAAGTGAAGGTGAGGGTTATATCAACTTTGAATGCCTAAAAAAATTAAATAGTCTTTGTTGGATAAGTCTCAAATTTTCAGAGTATACCAAACAAAAATAGTGCTTCATTTTTGTACTTCACAACTTTTTTGGGGAAATTCATAAAAATGAGATATAGAGCTTGAAAGTCTCATGGTCCTAAACTTAAGTTAGTGTTGCTTCTGGGCTTAAAGTGGCTACCTGCAAAACTCGAGAAAAATCGATCTGAAAATGTTGGATTTTTTGAATCAATGTATCTCGGTTCTTGTAAAAGGTATCAAAAAACTTTTAAGAGCAAAAATGTTTGTCTTGAATACATCAACATTTCGTCAGTTGACAATTTATTGATAACTCTAACAGGAAACGAGATAATTAGGGTCAAAGGGAGAATCTTTCTATGGAGTATTACAGAAATCAAAAGTGAAAATTCGATAGTTATTTCAACGTGATGAAAAGTTTTTTTGAGTATCAAACAACATTAAAACTCTCTACCGAAAAATCCGCGTGAATGCCCCATTGACCTCCGAAGAAGTACTATAAAGGAAGATGAAAGTGGAGAAACAAATCAGTTCTGCCTTCTCTGGGCTCCAGAGAAGGTGACCGGGGGTCCCTGGGTCCCAGGCGACCCAGGGGTCTCTGGTGACCCGGGGGTCCCTGGGTCCCTGGCGACCCAGGGGTCCCTGGTGACCCAGGGGTCCCTGGTGACCCAGGGGTCCCTGGTGACCCAGGGGTCCCTGGTGACCCAGGGGTCCCTGGTGACCCAGGGGTCCCTGGTGACCAGGTGACCCAGGGATCTCTGGTGACCCGGTGACCCGGTGACCCCGTGACGCGGGGGTCACCGGTGACCCGGTGACACGGTAGTACCCGGTGACCTGGGAGCCACTGGTGACCCGGTGGCCTGGGAGCCACTGGTGACCCGGTGACCCAGTGACCTGGGAGTCCCTGGTGGCCCGGTGACCCAGTGACCCAGTGACCCGGTGACTCGGTGACCTGGTGGCCCGGTGACCCGGTGACCCGGGGGTCCCTGGTGACCCGGGGGTTACCTAAATTTCATGTGAAATGATTTAAAGTCGAATTTCTTGTTTACCGTTTTTTTTAAATTTTTCCAATCCAAATTCTCTTTCAGACTTCGCCTGATCCTCCGAAAGCAGTTGCAGTTCATGTTCCAGTCAGCAGAGTCACTCAGGTAGAGAAAAGGATTACTGTAGTTTTTAAAATTTTATTTTTGAATTTCAAAAGTGTGCGGATTAATGTAGTTTTCAATTTTATTTTTAAAATTGAAGGGTTAATGATGTTTTCGAATCTAGTTTCAAGAACTGTAGAAGTTAGGATTACTGTAGTTTCTGGAGTCAATTTTTGAAAGGGAAAAATAGAGATTACTGTAGTTTTTGAATTCATTTTGCTATGTTTTTGCAGTGGTTCGAGGACTACCCTGATCCAATCGAGCGTCCCATTATAGAAAACAAGATTCCACCTGTCAAGGATCCAAATGAGCCTGTAGATGAGGAGGCCAAGAAAAACGGAAAGGTTAGCTGATAATATCTCAGATCTGATAAGAGATATCAAAATTTTGTCAACTGGTAAAATAATTTTGATATTATGATAAGCGTTTTGTTAGTTGACAACTTTTTGATATCTGTTATCGGAGCCGAGAAATTAGAGCTCAAAATTATTATCACGAAAAACTTTATTTTTCAGATTCCCATCAATAGAGCTCCTCCCATTCCAACCATCAAGAAACCGGAACTCAAAAAAGCCTAATTTTAATTACAAAAAAAATTTCTAATTAGTAAAATCTTCTATTAGAGGGGCTTTTCTAATACATGTTACACGGTTAGCTAAGGATGTGTAAAATGACTTGAAAACATTGCGAACGTCTAATTGATAATTTTTGAAACAGTAATTGTTTTGCTGTTTTCTGATCGTTAATGTTCACCTATTTCTAGAACAGTGCCAATCTAAAAAGCCACGAAACCTCTAGAAAATCTTTTGGGATTTTACACTGACCAAACAAAAACTTTCTACCTACAGTACCCTTTTTTAATTCGTGCCTTTTTGTTATCTAGACTGTACCACCTGTCCAACAGATGGTCTACTACCTGTAGTGTCCCCGGTGTTATCTAATAATTCCCTGACTCCCCTAGCACGTCTTCAAGATCGCGATTCAGAGATATGGCACCAATTATTTTCAAAATGCTCATTGAGCTAAACGTTTTGGTCAGCGCAATTATTTATTTCCGGTTGAACATTGTCTAACTAGGCTGTAGATTTTTTTACTGTTTCAACCAGATTTATTAGTTTGATAACTTTTCCCACCAATATTCACATGTCAATATTTTTCGATTTCATGGAAATGTCAAGTATAGTGCACTACGTTCTTTTGTTAGTTTCAATGGTGCAGTCGGAAGTTATTAATCGCTACAATGGTAGATCAAGTTTTGTTTCGCCGTTCGGACGTCTTTTGAGCCTGTGTATATAGCACCACAGTTCTCCCATTTTACATACGTTTTATGACATACAGTGCCTTCAACGTGACAGACAATGTCATGTCCTTCCCCGGAGGCTCCCGCTGGTTGCAACATACAGACGTTCCTCCTCATATTGGTCAATCTATGACCCATGGAGACTAATTAAGTGTCTTGCAGAAGGCTTCAATTCAAGATATTCAGATAAAAGGGATCTCACGGAATCATCACAGGGATTTTCGACATGTTTTAATGTACAGGCTCCAGTGAGGTAGTTTTAGAATTCGTTTCAAAAACTGGAAAATGCGTATCATTGTAGTTTTCGAATTCTTGTTTAGATATAGAAAAAAAGGTTACTGCAGTTTTTAAATCGATTTCTTGAATTTGAAAAATGAAGATTACTGTAGTTTTTAAATTTGTTTTTTTAAAAATTGTTGAAATAAGGACTACTGCAGTTTTTGGATTCAAAGCCTAACACTGTTCCAGCTAGATTATATCATCTTTTATAAATATGGTTTCTCCAATCGGTTTTGGACTTTCAAAAATCTTAGTCAGAAATAGCGCTCTAGCGAATGTGAGATTTCGCTTCTGATATATTTTTAATTTTGTTATCTGGGGCGCGATTCCTGACAATAGATTTTGGACACCTGTGATGACATATTTCAAGACATTTGCATCAATATCTGAAGTGCTCTCAGACCGCCCAAAGCTACAGTAACTCTCCTTGATCCTTCTTGCTGGATTTTCAAAAATTCCTTACTGATTTAAACGCATCTGTCTACAGTCCCTTAAGATCTACCAACCCACACCACACTCATTTAGGACAGACAGTACCTTCAACGTTTCACACGTTGTAGATGTGTTGACCTCTCCAGAAGGCAACCTGTTTTGCCACGTAGTGGGCCCATCAATCAAATACTGTCTTGTTGCTAATCCCCTCCGTCCATCTATGACCCCGCCAAAAGAACGATTTCAAGATGCAGACATTAGAGCAATTAATTTTTTGGGAGAGACGAGACATGAATCTGGGATCATTTGGGACTAATGGGATCTGTGGCATTATGGACCAGGAGTGTTTTGTTAAAACACTGCTAGCAGAAAGGCTTTAGAATTTAACAATATGTGAGACAACATTGACTTAAGACTCCGTAAAGACTCTAATAGAAGGCCATTCTTGAAGCTCCTATATCTCGATTCCTGTAAAAGATATCAAAAAGTGGTCCACTAATAAAATGTTGGTGATGATATGACAAACATTTTGAAAGTTGATCATTTTTTGATATTTGTTACAGTAACTGAGATATAAGGGCTCAAAGTTAAGGGCGTTTGTTACAGGTTTTACAGTATAGAGATCCAAAAGACGTAGCATTTGTATTCTTGCTCACATTCGTCATAAAAATGGCACAGCGGAATACAAGAAAATCAATCGATTTCACAGGAAAAATATTTCCCGGGTCTCGACGACGCTAAAAAGTTCTGTTTCAAAATTTGTATATAACATCGTACAGATCACATTTTTACTACTAGTTATTTGGAACAATTAGCTGATTTTTTTGATAACTTGGTTGGATTTGAACCAAGCTACGCGGATTTGGTAAAAATCTAGACTCCCTCCCACTACGTATTACTTTCCCATGCCCCTTGCCTTCTCCATTTTCACACCTTATTCCCTCTGTTCCCTGTCTACAGTAACCTCCTCTCCCCACACTACCACCACCCAACGTGCCCGTTTCCCCCCTGTTGCGTAGAATCGCAGGACCGTTTATCTCCCAAGAACGTTGTGACCGTACACCTTTCCCCGTGCTCCGCCCCCTTGCTCACCCACCACTGAGCGCGAAAATTGCGTATATAAGGGCCAGGAGGACAGGTAAGCGAGTCATTTATGATCGTTTCGTTGCCTCTCCTCTTCTTGATTCCCTCCTGTGTTACCGTATCCTCAATCGATTTGATTTCAGAAAACACCACAACTACAGTACCAACATGTACTCCCCACCAACGTCTACCTACCAACTGTACATCAAGGAGGTCAAGGATCACGACGAAACGTAAGTGAACTTGCTTTTGAACTTCTAGATACCACAGATATCATAGATATCATAAGTACCATGGGTACCATAGATACCATATATTCTAATCCTCAGCTTCTGACTTTTGTTTTTTGTCTTCAACACTACCTTTTTCTAATAAAGCGTCATAAACACCATATATACCATAGATACCATAAGTACCATAGACACTATAAATACCATAAATACCATAGGTATCGAAACTGCAAAGTTAGGAATGTTTGACTAAAAACTTTTGAAACAGTAATATTTTTAATGTACCGTAGTTTCTGCAATGTGGAGGCGTGCTGGCTTGTTAGTGGATAGGATTTGAATTTAGCTGCAACATCCGTTCATAATAAAGACAATGAAATTTTAACCACAGTTTGATTTTACCATAGATACCCCAGACACCATAGATACCAAAGATACCATAGATACCAAGGATACCATAAATATGGTTACGAATGTACGGTAGTTTCTACAATCTCTGAACATTGGATTGAATCACCAAAATTAAAAATATCCGACTAAAAAATTTTGAAACAGCGTTTTTTTCCGCCCCACCATAACCATTTTTTTCTTTCCAGACGCAAAAATTTGGAACGCGCCGTAAACGACAACAACACGCTCCAAAACCAAATTGGACAGAGCCAAGAGCAGAAAGCCAACGACCATCGGAAGATCGATGAGCTCAACAGAGAGCTTGCTCGCAAGGATCGGGCGATGAAGGATATGGAGTTCTATATGACACAGATGTCCAACCATGTACTTCAAGAAGTCAGACCAAACTCACTGTACAAATCACTCGAAGAGAAATCTCTGGCTTTAAAGGAGTCAACTGCTAAAAACCAAAAGTTGATGGAAACTGTGGATAACCTCTACGTGACGCTTCAGCAGAAGGAGGACATGATGCAAGTGCTGGTGAATCAGGAGACATCGTTGTTCGACAAGATTAAGGCGCTGGAGGAGGAAAACAAGAAGGTCAAAGAGGAGTTGGGAAACAAGAATGAGCATATTATCAATTTGAAAAGGACTCTGGCTACTACACGTGCTACCAGTGATTATAAGCTCAAGAAGAGGGATCAGATGATTCAGGAGTTGAAGGAGGAGTTGGCAGAGATGAATGAGTCGGATGAGGAGGAAGATGATGAGGAGGAAGAACAGGAGGGACCAGATGAGAAGGACCAGCAAATCAAGGAGCTCCAAATCGAAATCGCCAAGTTGTACATGACAGTGCAGAAGATGGACAAGCAGTGAGAGAATAGGCAACTTTGAAGTCATACGAAAGTAGTCTAGAATGTTTCAATTTGTTTGAAAATGTCAGAGTGTATTGAACAAAAGTAGATCTTTAGTTTTGTAGTTGGCAATTTCTTAGCATAATTCCATCTAAATGAGATGCACCGCTTGAAAAATACAGTTCAGGAGCATTACCAAATCTAGCGTCATAGAACATTGAAACGATAAATCTCATTTGGGTGAAATTTTGCCAAAAAAGTGTCAACTACAAAATTGAAGCTCAATTTTTGTTTAAGTATGATAATAATGAATTTCGGGTGTTAATAATTTTGATTCTGTTTTTACTATTAGTTTTTTTTTCGGGTACTGTACTGATATCGAATAAATATTGCTCATCTTTATTTTTGTGTTCTTCCTGATTCTTTTTTTCTATTCAACGGGTTACCATTCCCATTGTTTTCTATTCTTTTTTATCTTATCGTTAATTTTTTTGCTCTTGTTGCTCTTTTTTTTATCTTATCTCTTACTTTGTCAATTTTTCTCAATTAATATTTTTTCTAGAATTACAGAAACCAACGTTCGAGCAGGAATGGATAACCGCCCATTGATTCGGAAGTATGTCGAGGAAGTGGAGAGTCACAAGCAAACGTGAGTTTTAATTTTGGGTTTTCTAGGCTATGGGGGGTTCTAGGCCACAAGGTTTTTAAAGGTGGTGTGCGGTGAAAAATTTTATTGCTTTATTTTGTGCAGAAATCCATGTAGATTTCCATAAAAATAAAGAAAAAATTCAAAAAAATTCCTTCATTGAGAAAAACGGCATCGAAAAGTCAAAGTTGTATCTGGTGGCCTAGAGGCCAGGTGTGAGTTTTCTAGGTCGACTGCCGGTAAAAGCGCTCGAAACTTGAATTTTTATTGATTTTCTGTGTTTTCTCTGATGTTTTTTAAAGATTTCAAAACGTTTTTGTTGATTTCCTCCCAGGTGTTTGAGAAAACCTGACAAAAATCAGAGAAAACAGTGAAAATCAATAAAAATTCAAATTTCGCTCGCTTTTACCGGCAGTTGGCCTAGAAAACTCACACCTGGCCGCTAGGCCACCAGATACAACTTTGACTTTTCGATGCCGTTTTTCTCAATGAAGGAATTTTTTTGAATTTTTTCTTTATTTTTATGTGAATCTACATGGATTTCTGCACAAAATAAAGCAATAAAATTTTTCACCGCACACCACCTTTAAGTTATGGTGTTTCTAGGCCACATGGTGTTTTGAAACATCAATTTTTTGAGACCGTAATATTTCTACAAGAGCAATGTTTTGTGGTTTCTAGACAACTGAGTTTCTAGGTCATGTAATTTTTTAGCTACGTGGTTTCTAGGGCATGGGATTTTTAGGCCTTAGGTTTCTAGGATATGTGGTTTCTAGGTCACCAAATTTTATCTATGTCTAGTTGAAAATGGGTAATTTTGAAGTCCTACAAAGAATTCCTCTAGAATTTTTCGATTGGTCTGAAAATTACAAAATATATCAAACAAAAATACACCTTTAACTTTGTAATGAACAGCTTTTTTGTAAAATTCATCCAAATGAAGTAGACTGCTTAACTGAAAACTAGGTCTGAAAACTTTAAAATGCTTTCGTAGACATCCTAAGTTGACAATTTTCAAAAAAAATCCTGAGAAAAATATTTTGTGTTTCAAAAAAGCATTGAAGTTCAATTTTCGTTTAGTATACTCTGAATTTTTCTAATTGATCCAACAAAATCTAGTATATTTTCGAGGCATTTAAAGTGGTTAATTTCAACTATAAATTTGACCTTGTCCCAAATTTTTTTTACTGTTTCAGAGGAACATTTTTTCTGTAATAAAGCGAACGACTGTAGTTGAGAAAAAACACTCGCCCATTCTCATTCTTCTATACTTTCAGAAAACTGAAACATTCCGAGGCTCAAAACTTGCTGAAAACCTCATATGCCAAGAACAATGAGCTGATTGAAACGCACACCCAGAAACTGAAAGATAAGGACACTCGAATTAACCATTTGGAATTGATTATGGAGGATGTTCGCCAAAATACAGCTGTGGCACAAAAAGCGTGGATCGATGAGAAGTTCTATTTGGAGAGGCTCATCGCATCCCAAAGGGAAGCCATGGAAATGAAGGATAAGACTGAGATAATCATAGAAGCAGATTTGGCGGAAGCTGAAAAAGAATTAAAGGATGCAGAGGACAAAGCAGCATGTTATTCTATTCAGTTGGGAGTAGCCAACGAGAGAATCATTCAATTGGAGAATGAGAGAGCGGGGATGTTGAGAAGAATTGAGGAGAGAGAAGAACAGGTTGGTCATGAAATGGACAAGTTGGAAGCTCATATTGAAAGTCTTAAAATCGATTATAAAATGTCGGAGGAGCAACGACAGGATACAGAAATTGCATTGAAAGATGCATTGATTGAAATTCGTGATTTAAATGAAACCCTGACAGCTGAGAAGATGAATTCAAATATCAGGAAAAGTGAGATGCAAGATCAAATTGAGTCGCTGAAAATGAAAGTAGCACGTGGGGAAGCAAAGCTGTTGGAAAGAGATCAAACCATCGCTGAAATGTCAAAAGTCGCCGAATTGATTACAAAAGTTTATGATAACCTGTTCAGTGACTTCTCTAAGTTATGGGATAAAAATAAGGAAAAGACTGAAAAGGTTAAAAACAATCAAGAACAGGCCGGGACGTCATCTGCTACTTCGACGTCGACTGCCACCTTTCCAACTTCAATTTCCACTATATGTGAAAATTGTTGGTGTAAAGGGACGCACTTCTTCCACGCTAATGGACTTATCTGCGACGTTTGCGGTTCATACCAGACAGCTGTAGGTAAAAATGTAAGTTTTAAAGTTTTCCTCAATCTCAGGTTTTGAAGAGGATCTCTAATAGAAGCCCAACTCCAAACCGTCGAATTTGAGTTCGATTATCTCGGTCCTTATCAGTGATATCAAACATGTCAACTAAAAAGTTACTCACCATTATAACCCCAAAATTTTATCAGTTGACAAAATTTTGATATCTGTTAAAGGAATTAAGACAATTGAGCTCGAAGTTCGTTGGAGTTTTAAAGGTGGGGGTACAGGAGATTTTTCGTAGGATTTTTGTAGCTGGGGTATGCATTCTACCGTGACGGTGTACAACGGTTAATGTCACTCTGCGTACAGCTGTCGTCCTCGCCTTTATGTATGCAATCGGGCGGCCGTTTTCTCTTTGCCCGCGTGGCTCAGTCGGTAGCGGTGCTGCACCCTCAATCCTCGCCCCCACAAGTTCAACTCCTCGAGGGGCATATTAAGACGGAATATCGAGAACATTATTTTTTTCATGTCTCCCCACCTTTAACCAATTTATTATCACAAATTCATGTTTTTCAGGGTCCAACTCTTCCTTCGAGATCTTTTTATCCTATATAACTCGTCGTTCCTGGAAGGACCATTCTATTGATGCTACAGTATCTGTTTGTTATCAACGGTTACCTATCTGTCTTGTTCAAATCACCCCCCCCCCCCTTGATCATTCGACTCTTTGTTGATCACCATATCCCCCTTCCTTTGTTGTTATTTTTTACCTATTTTTCAACTTAAGCTAATGAACTTAAATCTTCATTGTTTCTTCAGTTCAGGACAGAGAATCAGACAAGTGACAAAGCATTTTTTTCGAATTTCCAAAAAACATTTTTGTCAATTTTATTACACCAAAACGTTTGACGTATTTTGAATTACACATCCATATTTGAGAGCAGGATCTCTTCTCTGTCAGAAGCTGTGGACAAGATTCTGAAAAATACCAATTTTCGGGCTAAAATTGTTTAATTTAGCCATAACTTTGCACAAACACGAGATCTTCAGAGAAGTCTCTTAAAATAAAACGTAATAAAATGTTATGCACAAGATCTGAGACTGATGATTTCATATTGCTAGGACCATTAAAACGAATGTTAGATTTGAAAACGTTTTGTTACCTTGAATCTAGCCTGTGCAAATATTGTGGATCAACTCATAAAAAACTATTTTTGTTTTAAAGATTAATTGAAACAGTAAAATTTGGGAATTCGATTATTCTTTGAAGTTTTGTATGTCATTAATATTTCCATCAAAATCCAAAGATAAAATGAAAAAAAAATTAACAAGTTGCCAGAAAAAAGTAAAACAAATGCTAGATTCGATGATTTTCAGTATAAATTGAAACAGCAAAAAACACTTTTAAAGGAAATGATTTACTGTTTCTAGGTTCTGTTGTTTGAAAAGTGAAACACTTAGTTATTAATAAGTTAACTGAACGTCCTTTTTTCAAAAGAAAATTACAAATTTCTTGAGTTTTTTCTATTTAAAATTTGTAAAAAATTTGAGAACCAAACTATACTTGCTTTTCTTTTATTACAAGCTTCTTTCAAACAATCCATGTCATTCAATGAGATCTCTCCCGAACTTTGAAATTCTAGTTTGTCAAATTTCTTATTTCAATAAATCAAGGATTATATACAAACATATTTTGCTTTTTTTTAAACATTAATCTTGAGAAACTTTTTCTGTTTCATTAAATCTTGAAACTGAAATTGAAGGATAATTAATCATCTTTGCAAGTTAGTTTTATTCAACCATTATGCCTAATACCGTTTTTTTACGAAGAAAATCCATTCAGATTCAATTGAAACAGTAAAAAATTGATGAAAATCCTATTCTGATAGAGCATTTTAATGTTTCAATATTATAACTGTAAGTATAATTTAGCCACATCATATTCCATATCAATTCTTGTTATATAGAGAAAATTAATCGAGCGACAGATGAAACAGTAAAAATTTATTTACCTACAATTCATAGCCAATAATTCAGTGTTTCAGGCCAAACTGAAGAATTAGGTTTTATTATTTTCGAACCCATTTCAAAACTTTACTGTGCAAATTAAAACTTCGATTGATTTAAAAAAATACTGTTTCAAAGATTCAGTGAAAAGATGTAACTGATCTTCGGCACTTCAATAGTTGAAAATTTACAGTTTCTGTCATATTGTCAGAAATATAAAACTGTCCGCTGCGTGTTTGAAGACGCAGTGCAAAACACCCAAATTTTTGTACTGACACGGGAACCACTCCATATGTTACCCGGGAATTTTAATGAAACCTATGCGAAATAGTAGCACACCGGCTATCTAGAACAACCACACAATTATAGCGGCCCATATGAAGATCTGTTCAAATGGCGGGCCATTTTATGATTTTTTGTGAGTTTGGAGTCGGTACCCTTCGAAAGACCATAACTTTGTTCATTTTTGTGCTAGACATTCAAACTTTTTTGCATTCAAAAGGTGATAATTGGACAAACATACACTGTACCCGTAATCCATCTTCAAAAATAAAGTCAGGAAAATGGAAAGTATCCAAATTTCGAGTACCAACGAATTCAAAAAATGCCATTTTTGAAAAAAAGTACTCGGGGGACCATGTCTATCAGATTTCTCAGGGCAAGTAACGTAGATATCCGTGTTCAAATACATGTCTAGCCTTTGAGTTACGAGACTTATTTCAATTTTTTTCGAAAAAAATTCAAAATTCATATACATGACATTAAAAAAAAAGTTTTCAAAAATTAGAAAAAAAAGATGAAAATGAAAAAAAAGCAACAAAATAAAGTTTAGAAGCCCAAAAGGACAACATTCCAAGACTAAAAAATTTTTCAAAAAATCTGACAATAGGAACTAAACTGACTCAAAGTTGACGGCAAAGGGGGTCATTATAGTTTTAACTTAAATGTCTTTTAGGTAACTTTTTTTGAAGTAGATGATTTTTGAATGTATGCCGTAGCAAACTAAAACTCCTTATAAAAGCAGTACTTTTTTAAGGGGAAAGTGAATTAAAGGTGGGGGGGGGCAGGAGATTTTCCGTAGTTTTTTTGTAGCTAGAGTATGCATTCTACCGTCACGGTGTACAACGCTTAATGTCACTCTGCGTACAGCTGTCGTCCTCGCCTTTATGTATGCAATCGGGCGTGCGCTTTCTCCCCCCCCGCGTGGCTCAGTCGGTAGCGGCGCCGCACCCTCAATCATCGCCCTCACAAGTTCAACTCCTCGAGGGGCATCTTTGAACGGAATTTCGAGAACATTATTTTTTTCATGTCCCCCCCCCCCCCACCTTTAAGTGAATATTGAACAGTGAAAAATTCAAATATCTATTTTTCGTATAACTCGTAGGAAAACATTTACTGTTCCAAGTCGAACTGAAACATTTGGTTTTATACTTCTGGGACCAATCTCAAATCTTTTGTTGTGTAAATTGAAACGATGATTGGTAAAAACAATACAGTTTCAAAGTTTCTGTAAAAAAATTATACAATTTCTTTTGCGCATTATGTCTGTTAGCGGTTCGTTAAGAAATTATATGAAGAATGGCAATATGAGAATAAGGGTTTTCACATCTTTCATAATTGAGCGACAATTAAAACAGTAAAAAATCCAATTTTTTTCTACAGTACTCCACAAAATTATAATTCCACCCTCAGTTTGTACTGAAACACCTATTTAGGTCAGTATTAGTGAAAAGGTATCAACATGAAATACAAAGGTCTCAATTCAAAACCTACGCACGACAAATTTGGAGCCATCAACGTGACCCGGAAAACGAGAAACCGGAAAAATTCCGAAAATCACATTTTGGCCGATCCACAAAAGTATATTTCCACTCTGAAAAAGTGAGATTTTGGAGGTTTTGAAGCGCTCTGCGGTCACCTTTTGAAGGCCTGAATCTGAAGAATTTTGAGATTGTGACCCCCCATACACAAAGACCATTATACAGGGTTACTGATATCCGGATTCCGAATCAAAACCCCCAACTCTCACTTTTTCAGAGTGGAATTATACTTTTGTGGATCAGCCAAAACGTGATTTTCGGAATTCGCGCATTTTTGATGAAATGCAGTCCTGCATAGTCCTGCATAGCGACTCGGCCGTTCCGTTTGATGCATGCGCGTCGATACTTTTTTATGAAACAAAATTAGTGGTTTGAAAAGTTATTTGGTACACTTTAAATTATATAATAATTTTTTGAAAATCTGAAAAATGTTATTCCAGCTACTCCGTTAATAATCTTTACTTTTAATAATCTAATCTTTACAAATAGGTAAGATAATAATATCTGAATCCCAATGCAATTCTTGCTGCATTCGCTACGGATGGCCAGACAGCTGGATCCTGGTATGGCATTCCTTCCGAGTGGTCTGTGGAAATCTGGATTTATTATAGACGCACAGATGGACAAGAAGCAATTTGAGAAACTAGGGAAACTGTGTATGCAGTACTGACCAAAACGTTCATTAATTTTAGCAATTATACAAAACGAATTCGAATAGGAATGAGAGATTTTTTCTCTGTTCCAGATTTCAAAAAATTTCCAATAGATTGTTTAGTTTCGATAAAAACCCTGCTAGCGCACTTATCAATAAAATCCGAAAAATTCGGTCTCAAGAAACAATGGTGTTCAATGTGATCCTCAAAATTCAATAACCCTCACATATGTGGAAATTCTCCGATTTCTTGAGATTTATTTTTGTCCGGATTCCACAATCCGAAAAAATTTATTTCTTCTGGATTTAAAACTTGAAGTTGAAAAAAAAAGAAAAACACTGTTTCATAAAAACTGGTTTAATTTAAGTTTTTAATTAGTTATTAGTATTTCATCTCCTAACCAATGTTAATTAGCAAATTACACATAGAAAGATTTCTGTCTATCAAAGCTATAACTATTGGTTACAAGTTCTTTGTCCTTGAGCTACCAGAATAAGTAGGCTATTTCAAATTACAATTATTTACTTTGATTCACTGTCACTCTTATCTACTGCTTTTATATATTATTTCTTCGAAACAGAATATTTTCAGAAACAATATTCCACCATACAATAAACTCCCTGCTTCAAAATGAGTGTTTCAAAAAACTTTGCCTTCCAAAATCATTACCATTCTGTCTGGTTTCAGAAGTTTTTTTTTTTCAAAATCTTATCTTTAGGAAATCTGAAAACTTAATTAATTCATTTTTTTCCGAGGCTCAAAGTCGAGAGTTCAGTATCAAAAATCTTCATATAAACAAAATCAAAATCAATTATTCGAGAAACTGAGTGTGAATTTCTTCTTCAAAGCCATTAAACTGATCAAATTCTTTGAAGAAATCATGACTCTCTGAGTAGAAGCATCATATGAAGTCTTTGACATATCCAGTGTCACACTAGATCCATCCAATTTGAATCCAGAAAAGTTTGGAGCAGATGGATATCCGAGAATTTCAATTGTATCCAAAGTTGGCGGTTTTACAGCCTGAAATTCTATGAAATGAGGTATATTTTGAGTCGTGGTTACCGTAGAACAAGTCTCGCAGTTCCCAGTGAAAACACCACCAACGATCGATGAGGTGAATGAGAATTGCCAGTGGACTCTGAAATTTCGGAGGGGGGTGGTGGACATCCGGACACACAGACAAACCTTGGATGTTGCTCAATATTGTCATTGGGAATGATGTCATCTCCATTGTCGTAGTATAGTTCCCCCTGGAAAAACCAAGAAGTGATTTTCGCTATTGCTAGTGTAAGTAAATAAATCTAAATATTTTCAATTTCAACTGAAACAGAAAATTTTTACAAGCTAAATAGTTCTACTGCAATAAAACCTTTTAGCCAATCCTTTAAATTATTTCATCATTAAAAATCTTTACTAAATTTTTAGAAGAATGAATTAATCAATTTTTGTTTTTTTTGAAAATTTGGGAGCACACTTATTAATAACCGTCGAATCGAGCCTAGATAACATTTTTTGAATGATTGAAACAGTGAAATTTATTTTTCAATTTTCAAACTTTTTTTCTGTTTCATTTTATATGTAAACTTCATACAGACAGGGACTGATTATTAAATGAACCTTTGGTCCCAATTTAATAATTTTCTTTACCGGATAATCATTTTTTCAAATTCCCGCCCAAATTCACCACGTACCGAAGAAGCGGCATTAGTCTTGACCGTAATCAGCACTTCAAATGGATTCAATCTAGAAGCCGTTGTGGTTGTATTGGCTGCTTGGCGTGGCAAAATGAATCCACCTCTGACGAATACAGGAGTCAGAGAAGATAATGGAGCATTGACGTCGTTGAATCCGGAGAACATTTTCTGTCCGTAGGTCTCTGGTTGAAGTGAGTACCAGGTATCGGATGGGAAGTAGGCGTGCACGGTGGTTTGGCCCTGGAATGATTATTGAAGAGCTACAGTATCCGGATAAAATATTTTTTTCGGTTTCAAAAAACATTTATACTCGTTTTCCTGTTTTTCAGAATAATGCATTGGGAATTCTATATTACCTGATACAGAGCCGGAGCAATCATTAATGCGGATCCCCACAAGAACTGCTCACTGATCTCAAGAGTTTCCTCATCTTTCGGATATTCGAAGAATAATGGGCGGATTACGGTATGTCCGTAACGAGCGGCATTGTAGTGAAGACTGAAATTAGTGTTTCATTGAAAAGGACCGCCATTTAAAAAAAAATAAATGTTTATTATTTTCCAATTTTGTAAAACAGAATTTTTTTTTTAAATTTTGGTATTCCAGCTACTCTGGTCTAAACTAACCTGTACAAATAGGGAAGATAATAATATCTGAATCCCAACGCAATTCTTGCTGCATTTGCTACGGATGGCCAGACAGCTGGATCCTGGTCGGGCATTCCTTCAGAATTGTGGTCTCTGGAAATCTGAATTTAAAGGCGCACAGATAGACAGGGAACCATTTGAGATGCCAAGGAAACTGTGTAAAAAGTACTGACCAAAAATTTACTTATTTCAGCAATTGTTCAAAACGAAGAATTCAAATAGGAATGGAGGAATATTTTTTATTGTTTCAAATTTTTTCAAACTTTGCAATAGACATTATAGTTTCGATCAAGAAATCCTTCCAGTTTCAAGAAACAAGCATGTCAAAATGAAACCGATTTTCTGAATTTAATAACGAGTAGATACCGTTAAATCTGTAATAGAAAGCCCCCAACTTTTAACTTTGAGCAAACATTTCTCGATTCCTGCCAAAGATATAGAAACGTTTTCAATTTATATATTGTTCATCTTAATATCAAAATGTTTTTTGTTTCTAAATTCTTATAAATGGTTTCTATCTGGAATTAAATTTACTTCTGTTTCAGGTAAAACTTATTTTTTATTGTACTTCCCAACTGTTGTTTCAGATAATCGGTTTATCGGTATCTTACATTGGTAATCAATTTCAACAATAGTTAGAATCGAATAATCTTGTTTTAACAGGGTTATAGAAGCTGAAATGAATGTCCAAGGTTTGAAAAAATTGGAATCTTTTTAAAAGATGAAGAGTTACTGTTTCATAAAAAATGTTTTAAACTTCATTTTTCATTAGTATGTCATCTCCTGATTTTTTTGAGCACCTCTAATGATAGGGTCCTCCTATAGGAGTTCGTTATAATGGAATTTTCTTTAGAATTCATTCAAATTTTTACTGTTTCACAAAAACCTGAAGTTATCTCCCGTGTAAGTTTTTTGATACCATTCTTTTGTATAGGGTTGTTGCTGACCGCCAGTGCCAGAGCTATGGGCCTTTCAATTTCACGTGATTTGCATTACCGTAAAACCTCTAATAGAACGACACCCGGATAGTCCACTTTGAGTCAATATATCTCATTTTCTGTGAAAGATATCAAAAAGTGGCTAACTAGTAAAATGTTGCTGATATCCTGATAAACATTTTACTATATAGAATTCCACCACA